ACCGGCTCCTGAATGTACGTGAACCTGCTCCAGTGTTGGTCAAGTCGTCTTGAAAGAGCTCACACTCGGTGCTGTCACAACACTTATTGGCAGATTGTTCCAAGAGTTCACAACTCTCACTCAGAAAAAGTTTGCCCTCACAATTTTCTGGACCTGCGGCTTCTTCAATCTTGAGCTGTGACCCCTGTGGGAGAGCGTCCGCCAGCTCCAAGTAAGGACACTCGACTGAGTAGTGCCCCTTGAGATGCTTATACACCTCAATTAGGTCGCCCCTTGCCCGTCTGTAATATAAGCTAGCATATCTCGGGGACCAGACGGGGTAACATTACTCCAGATGGGAAAGCACTTCACTCTTGAAGATCGTTACGAGGGACGAACCGTCTAGATATCTGAACGACCTTCATATAAGACCTAATCATTTATTTGCCTGATTTACCTTCTTCTCGCAATGGCCCGAGAACTTCAGCTCATTGTCAACATACACACCTTGGTCCTTCTTACATTCGGTTTCAAATAGTGCAGTTTCTTCATCCCGCTGGGACATATGATACGCCTTCTTACCGTTGGTACGCCTCAGGTGCATCCTCTTACACTTCGTGACATTGAATCTCAGCAGCCATTTCTTCGATCATTCTTGGAGCTCACAGAGATCCTTCTGCAGCTCTTCACAGTCCGCTTGGTTCTTGATTTCCCGGAATAACTTGGCGTCATCTGCAAACATTTGTATGGAGGAGTGTACAACGTCAGGCATGTCATTTATGAAACAGACAAACAACAGCGGGCCCAATATACTGCCCTTCTGGTACCCCGCTTGTGACAGGTACAGATTATGATTTCGTGCCATTAATCACCACACACACTGCTTGCGGTTATATAAAAAGTTTTATATCCACGCTAGGTCATTTCCCCAAATTCCGTATCCTTCCAGTCCTACAAATTCGCATTGATTTAGCGTATATAGATTTTGCAGGTATACATTGTACAGCGCATAGACAATGCTATTGTACATACTGTAGTGCAGGTATAGTGTAAATTATAGACAGTAGGTATCAATGTACATAGACAGTGAGGGTATACGATATACATAGACAGTGCAGGTATGCAAGCTGTACATAGATAATGCAGGTACAGGGTATATAGTGTTCATAGACTTTTATCTTCTTCACCATTGATCGGCTCGTTAGCCGCTTGGGCGATCGGTCACGTTTCTGTTACGCATTGTTGGCAAGTACTGGGCATGCACTGGCTCCCGAATGTATTTGAACCTGCTCCAATGGTTGTCAAGTCTGGTCAACAAAGGGCTCACACTTGGTGCCGTCATAACACTCTCTGGCACATTGTTCCAAGAGTTCACAACTCTTACTCCGAAAAAGTTACCCCTCTCAGTTTCCGGGCTTGCGGCTTCTTCAACCTGGAGCTGTGACCCCTTGTGGGGCGAGAGTCCGCCAGCTCCAGGAAGGGCACTCGACTGAGTAGTGCCCTTTGAGATGCTTATACACCTCAATTTGGTCTCCCCTGTACGTGCATAGCAGTATAGGTATCCAAACTATATACAGACAGTACAGGTATATAAAGTATGTATATATAATACAGATATATAATGTATACATTACAGATTTTCTTCCTCACTTGTGGGAGACTTTGCACATTAAGTAAGGACAATATTGTTGTTGTAATATACCGTAAGCCATTCACCCGATCTCCACGAAAATTTAAAGCAATGTGTTTGCAATTTCTGAAATACCCTTGCAAGAGAATTATAAGATACATTATTTGGATCACCTGAAGATTAACCCCAAGTTCTTCCAACTGATGGTTAAACACCCTAACGCTACCTGGGGGGTTAGGTTAGGTTAGGTTATATGGCATAATGTTAGGTTAAGTTACATTAGGTTAGATTAAATTAGGTTTGGTTCTTTAGGGTGTTTAATCATCAGGAAAATAAGCTTGCGTGCCTAATCTTTAGGTCTTACCACAAATATCTAATCAGTCATTAAACTGCACGCAACAAAGAGCTAGCAAGTGTCTAGTGAGCCCCCTCAAGGCTGGCAGGACCCATTGGCAGGGTACTCTGGCAGGAGTCAAACTGAGTTAAGCAAGACCCACTGGCAGGACCTAACCAAACTTAGCCTAATTTAACGTAACCAAGCCTAACCTAACTAAACCCACCCCCCAAGTAGCGTAAAGGTGTTTAATCTTTAGGTGAAATACATTGGGGGCGATTCTTCAGGTAATCCAAAAAAATTTTACTGTACAAAGCTTGTCAGTAATTGTGCCTTGTGCACTCACATCGAACCTTTGGCTTTAGTATGTCAGTGTGACCAATACTATTCAAGGCTTCCTTTGTGAGTCACATCAACTTCACTGTTAAGTGTGGATTAAAGAAGATACCGTATATTTTTTAATTCTTGCAGTACTTTTTCCGCTATACTGTGGACTGCAGGATATTGTGTGAAGAGCACACAAAATCTCCCTTCCTTCACTCTTATTCATTTATCTCTATTGTAAAACAAGGTGATCGGAAAGTCCAGGTACACTTGAACGTAATTAACAATAAAGTTTTATAACTTATTCTACTTATAGTAAATACAAGAAATGGTCACAGTTAATGTCGGAAGTGGTCACCACGAACTTGCAGGCATGTAAGTAGAACCAGCTGGTGTATGAAAATATAGGTATAACAAGGTGCACACGGACTTTTCGATCCCACCACAGCTGTGTTCTGCTATGATTCTCCCTATCCCCAGCAAGTATCCACTCTGTTTTGGTTTACCGCTGTCGCTTCGACGTTTCGCAAAAGCCAGCATCACCCATTTACAATACTTCCTTCTCCAATGTGGCTACAGCGCCTGCCTCCTGTTCTAAGGGTCAATGGTTCATTCCTGGATACCCATATTCCACCAAGCTGTGACTAGGACTTTATACAGTTGGGAACGGGAAGGAGATCGAGCGCAGTTGCCTTATTTACTGAAAGCAGGCGTTGTCTACCTGTAGGACACACCTACAGTAGATGAATACTCACAGGTTGAATATTTAATTTTCCTTATAAGTTATTATTAAGACTCCGATGATACTCAAAAAAGGTTATAAGCAGGGCCAGATTCAGAGCTGTGGGGCTCTGGGCAAACACCTGGTGGAGGCCCCTGCAATTCCCTTTTTATTACAGTATTATAAAACCAGTCATAACTGCATAATATTTGTTTTACCGAAGTGACTCATATAGTGTCCCTGAAAATACTGGTTCATTAGAAAAGTAGAAAAATGAGCACATGCAATTTTATTCATGTAATTTTACTGAGGGTCTATGGCATGACATACAGGACTCCCAGGAAATGACAAACGCAATAACAATTTATAAACATAATTTTTGGCCCTGAATTCCTGTTTCTATGGATAAAACATTTGACCCATTCGTGAGATATACTGTACACATCATCAATGTGCAGTGTGATTAGGACCATCTACTGGAACTTCTGGAAGTCTGTCTGGGGAAGGTGACTTAATTTTCTCTATATCATGATTATATTACAAATATCAGTCAACCACAACTTTTTGCTCTGACGGTACAAGGTTGACAACTTTGTTGGATCCTATTTTATTTTGGTGTTCACAAACAAAACCGTGAAATTGGCGGATTCACCTCAAAAGTTCTGAGCAGTGAGCATAAATTATATCCATGACACTGATAAACTATAAAAGAGCACATACATAATAATTTGCAGAAAAAACCCTGCTATTTATATATTTTTTTTCAGCCACTGTCTTAAAGCTCTGGTTACACATTAAGGTGGTAATTGCAAGTAAACATGATAGTGAGTACAGTAATGAATTAAAATTCACACATTCATATGGTAGAGCCCCTGGTTATACTGTTCAAGAACACATATCACCGTCTTCTGTCACCCCGTCCAAAGCTCCCCGTACTAGGTTACCAGCCCAGGTTTATGTATTTTTTTTATTCACAATAAGTAAATAATTAATAGTGTTTAGAAGAGTGGTTATAGGAAGATGTAATACGCATGTATAGACAGGGAGAAACACACCTGTTTCCTTTGTGTACTTTTTCAAAGGTTGTGGGACCCGAATTTATCACGACAGATGACGCTCCTCCGTTAATCTTATTTTGCTTATATATTTCCTTATCTACAAGACAATGAGTCCTATTGTAGCATATGTTCTTACGTAAGAGCCTCGCTTGATAATAACGTGTGAGAACTACTGTTTATTGCATGACCGACCCACAGAAACCTCACTTCGCTCTACGCTTCTCGTACAAGGTTGACTTTTTGGAGTTATAAAATTTCCTTATTAATAAAGAGTCTGTCATATTCTGAAGTCTTGGGAATTATACAGGAAAACTTTAGAGGAGATAGGTCTGTTGTAATTGAGCTCAGGAGCATCAGTCATTACTTTCATGAAATTAAATATTTATTTAGTTTATGAAATGAGAAATATAACTTGGTCTCTTTTCAGTAGGAAAATAAAAGCTGAAGAATAATTTTGGTGTAGAATTTCTCACTCCAACTGCATGATGTCTTGTACAACTATATATGAAGTATAACAATCTTACTGTTAGTCTACGATGACTATGATGGACTCGTCAACAACGTTAACTTGAACTCAGTCTCAGTGTCGCAGTTGTAGAGAATGGTGTTTGTTGTTTACTTGCAGTGTAGGCGACTGAATCAAAGAGCAACGAACAAGCTCGCTGATCACTTAAGAAGAGCAGGTGTAAAGTGTGATTTGTTATATATACACCACGTAGTGTGATAAATGAATAAGTTAACGTTGTCAACTGTGAGTACGCAAATGTGTTGACATTTTAGCACTTCATATTGAAATTTTAATTTCATTATTAGTACAGGTGTGAAAACTATAGGTTGTTGGTCAGCTACCTAAAAGATGGAGTTGTCGAAACAATTAATGAATTTTGACGGGAACAGCAGACTCTGAGCCAGTTTAAGGGACATAATTGCATCTCATTCCCCAAGTCGTGAAGTATGGCGGCCAAATCGACCTCCCACGACCCAGAATATTGTTCTAGTAGCAACCCACATTTGAGCTGGGGGTCGAGCAGCCCCCTGGAAGGTCGCGCTGCATCCGGGGGGAGAGAACCTAAGGCGGCGACCTGGGGCAACCTGGAGGTGGAGACTGAGGGGGAGGAGCTGAGGGAGGCGTGTGGAGTGTTTGGCTGTGTGCTGGCTAAGGACATTTCTCCGAATTCCATCAGTGTCGCCCAAGTGATATACCTGGGTCTGGTGGCTCTCCAACACAGGTACTGTTTCACCAACGTAGGTATAGATATTGGTCCTTTAACATCGGTACAAACCACCAGCATAAGTACTGACCCTCCAACATTGGTACAAACCACCAGCATAAGTACTGACCCTCCAACATTGGTACAAACCACCAGCATAAGTACTGACCCTCCAACATTGGTACAAACCACCAGCATAAGTACTGACCCTCCAACATTGGTACAAACCACCAGCATAAGTACTGACCCTCCAACATTGGTACAAACCACCAGCATAAGTACTGACCCTCCAACATTGGTACAAACCACCAGCATAAGTACTGACCCTCCAACATTGGTACAAACCATCAGCAAAAGTACTGACTATTAACACAATTTCTAACTCCCTTAACTCAGGTTGTAACCCCCTAACTCGGATACTGAATTTTAAGATAAGGGATTGGATTGCCCTGAGGGGCTAGTTTATTGGGCACCCCCTTACATCCTGTGCAAGGTGAGGGACAGAAGCGTTTACAGTGCCCATCTGGGAGGCATGCTAAGTCCATGCTTGCCTTTATGACTCATGCATTAAGGGTGTAAAAGCCTGAAGGGTCATGGGTTTTGTCAGCAAGTTACATAAAGTGACAGAATGATGAGTGTGTGGGGGGAAGTTCCCGGTACATTTCATCTGTTTATGGCAAAGCGTGGCAGGTCCCTAATAATGTCAAGTGCCAAACCCTCCGACACCGGTGATGACCCTCCGACACCGGTATTGACCCTCCGACACCGGTGATGACCCTCCGACACCGGTGATGACCCTCCGACACCGGTATTGACCCTCCGACACCGGTATTGATCCTTCAACGCAACTTCTGTCCCCTCCCTAACGCAGTAGTGACCCTCCTAACGCAGCTACTGCCCCTCCCTAATGCAGCTACTGCCCCCTCCCTAACGCAGCTACGCCCCTCCCTAACGCACCTCCACTGCCCCTCCAACGCAGCTACTGCCCCTCCAACGCAGCTACTGCCCCCTCCACGCAGCTGGCCCTCCAACGCAGCTACTGCCCCCCACCCCAACGCAGCTACTGCCCCCACCCCAACCGCAGCTACTTCCCCACCACCCCAACGCAGCTACTGCCCCCACCCCAACGCAGCTACTGCCCCCACCCCAACGCAGCTACTGCCCCCACCCAACGCAGCTACTGCCCCCACCCCAACGCAGCGCTACTGCCCCCACCCCAACGCAGCTACTGCCCCCCACCCCAACGCAGCTACTGCCCCCCACCCCAACGCAGCTACTGCCCCACCCCAACGCAGCTATTGCCCCCACCCCAACCGCAGCTATTGCCCCCACCCCAACGCAGCTATTGCCCCCCACCCCACAACGCAGCTCATAGCCCCCACCACAACGCAGCTATTGCCCTCCTCCCCCACCGCAGCTATTGCCCTCCTCCCCACGCAGCTATTGCCCTCCTCCCACGCATATTGCCCTCCTCCCCCACGCACTATTGCCCTCCTCCCCACCATCCCTCCCCTCCCCACGCCATGCCTCCTCCCCACGCAGCTATTGCCCTCCTCCCCACGCAGCTATTGCCCTCCTCCCCCACGCAGCTATTGCCCTCCTCCCCCCACGCACTCTGCCTCCTCCCCCCCCACGCAGCTGCCCTCCTCCCCCCACGCAGCTATTGTTCCTCCCTCCCCCACGCAGCTGCCCTCCTCCCCCACGCAGCATATTGCCCTCCCCCCCACGCCGCTATTGGCTCCTCCCCACCCTCCCCACGCCGCTATTGCCCTCCTCCCCCCACGCCCTACTTTCCCTCCCTCCCCCCACGCCGCTATTGCCCCTCCCCCCACGCCCCCTGCTATTGCCTCCCCTCCCCCCACGCCGCTATTGCCCTCCTCCCCCCCACGCCGCCATTGCCCTCCTCCCCCCACGCCGCTATTGCCCTCCTCCCCCCCCACGCCGCCATTGCCCCTCCTCCTCCCCACGCCGCTATTGCCTCCCTCCCCCCACGCCGCTATTGCCCTTCTCCCCCACGCCGCTATTGCCCTCCCCCCACGCCGCCTTGCCCTCCTCCCCCCACGCCGCATGTCTCCTCCCCCACGCCGCATGCTCCCTCCCTCCCCCCCCACGCCGCTCATTGCCCTCCTCCCCCCCCACGCCGCTATTGCCCTCCTCCCCACGCCGCTATTGCCCCTCCCCCCCACGCCAAGCACCCTCCCTCCCCCCACGCTATTGCCTCCTCCCCCACGCCAGCATAGTTCTCCCTCCCCCCACGCCGCTATTGCCCTCCTCCCCCCCCACGCCGCTGCCCTCCTCCCCCCACGCCAAGCATGCCCTCCCCCACGCCAGCATATTCCCTCCCCCCCACGCCGCTATTGCCCTCCCTCCCCCCCACGCCGCTATTGCCCTCCTCCCCCCACGCCGCTTTCTCCTCCCCCCACGCCGCTATTGCCCTCCTCCCCCCACGCCGCTATTGCCCTCCCTCCCCACGCCGCATGCTCTCCTCCCCCCACGCTGCTATTGCCCTCCCCCACGCCGCTATTGCCCTCCTCCCCCCCACGCCGCTATTGCCCTCCTCCCCACGCCATGTTATTGCCTCCTCCCCCCACGCCGCTATTGCCCTCCTCCCCCCCCACGCTATTGCCCTCCCCCCACGCTATTGCCCTCCCTCCCCCACGCCGCTATTGCTCCCTCCCCCCCACGCTATTGCCCTCCTCCCCCCACGCCGCATTGCCCTCCCTCCCCCCACGCCGCTATTGCCCTCCTCCCCACGCCGCTATTGCCCTCCTCCCCACGCTGCTATTGCCCTCCCCCACGCCGCTATTGCCCCCTCCTCCTCCCCCCACGCCGCTATTGCCCTCCTCCCCACGCCGCTATTGCCCTCCTCCCCCACGCCGCTATTGCCCTCCTCCCCCACGCCGCATTGCCCTCTCCCCCACGCCGCTATTGCCCCTCCCTCCCCCACGCTATTGCCCTCCCCCCACGCCGCTATTGCCCTCCTCCCCCACGCCGCTATTGCCCTCCCCCCACGCCATATTGCCCTCCTCCCCCCCACGCCGCTATTGTCTCTCCTCCACGCCGCTATTGCCCTCCTCCCCACGCCACTATTGCTCTCCCCCACGCCGCTATTGCTCCTCCCCACGCCGCTATTGCCCTCCTCCCCACGCCGCTATTGCCCTCCTCCCCACGCCGCTATTGCTCCTCCTCCCCACGCCGCTATTGCCCTCCTCCCCACGCTGCCATATTGCTCCTCCCCCCCACGCCGCTATTGCCCTCCCTCCCCCACGCCGCATTGCCCTCCTCCCCCCACGCCGCTATTGCCCTCCCTCCCCCACGCCGCTATTGCCCTCCTCCCCCACGCCGCTATTGCCCCTCCTCCCCCACGCCGCTATTGCCCTCCTCCCCACGCTGCCCTCCTCCCCCCACGCCGCTATTGCCCTCTCCCCCACGCCGCTATTGCCTCCTCCCCCCACGCCGCTATTGCCCTCCCTCCCCCACGCCGCTATTGCCCTCCTCCCCCACGCCGCTATTGCCCTCCTCCCCACGCCGCTATTGCCCTCTCCCCCCACGCCGCTATTGCTCCCTCCCCCCCCCACGCCGCTATGTCCTCCCCACGCCGCATTGCCCTCCCCCACGCTGCCATTGCTCTCCCCCCCACGCCGCTATTGCCCTCCTCCCCCACGCCGCTATTGCCCTCCCTCCCCCACGCCGCTATTGCCCTCCCTCCCCCACACGTATTGCCCCTCCCTCCCCCCCCACGCCGCTATTGCCCTCCCCCCCACGCCGCTATTGCCCCTCCTCCCCCACGCCGCTATTGCCCTCCTCCCCCACGCCGCATCCTCCCCCCACGCCGCTATTGGTTCTCCCGCCGCTATTGCCCTCCTCCCCCACGCCACTATTGCCCTCCCTCCCCCACGCCGCTATTGTCCTCCTCCCCCCACGCCGCCATTGCCCTCCCTCCCCCCACGCCGCTATTGCCCTCCTCCCCCACGCCCTATTGCCCCTCCCTCCCCCACGCCGCTATTGCCCTCCCTCCCCCCACGCCGCTATTGCCCTCCCCCCACGCCAGTATTGCCCTCCTCCCCACGCCGCTATTGCCCTCCTCCCCCACGCCGCTATTGCCCTCCCCCCACGCTATTGCCCCCCCCCCACGCCGCCATGCCCTCCCCCCACGCCATTGCCCCCTCCTCCCCCACGCCATATTGCCCTCCCTCCCCCCCACGCCGCTATTGCCCTCCCCCCCACGCCGCTGTTCCCTCCCCCACGCCGCTATTGCCCTCCCCCACGCCGCCATTGCCCTCCTCCCCCCACGCCGCTATTGCTCCTCCCCACGCCGCTATTGCCCCTCCTCCCCACGCCGCTATTGCCCTCCTCCCCCCCCCACGCCGCATTGCCCTCCCTCCCCCCACGCTATTGCCCTCCCCCACGCCGCTATTGCCCCCTCCTCCCCCCACGCCGCTATTGCCCTCCCTCCCCACGCCGCCATTGCCCCTCCCCCACGCCGCTATTGCCCCTCCTCCCCCCACGCCGCCTATTGCCCTCCCCCCACGCCGCTATTGCCCTCCTCCCCCCCACGCCAGCATATTCTCCCTCCCCACGCCGCATAGTCCCTCCCCCCACGCCGCTATTGCCCTCCTCCCCCACGCCGCTATTGCCCCTCCTCCCCACGCCGCCATTGCCCTCCCCCCACGCCGCATTGCCCTCCCTCCCCCCCACGCCGCCATTGCCCTCCCCCCCACGCCGCTATTGCCCTCCCCCCACGCCGCTATTGCCCTCCTCCCCCCACGCCGCTATTGCCCTCCTCCCCCACGCGCATTGCCCCCCCCCCTCCCCCCCACGCCGCTATTGCCCCCTCTCCCCCCCACGCCGCCATTGGGTCCTCCTCCCCCACGCCATTGTTCTCCTCCCCCCACGCCGCCATTGCCTCCTCCCCCCACGCCCATTGCCCCTCCCTCCCCACGCCAGCATATTGCCCTCCCCACGCCGCTATTGCCCCTCCTCCCCCACGCAGCTATTGCCCTCCTCCCCCACGCAGCTACTGCCCCCCCCCCACGCAGCCACTGCCCCACGCAGCCACTGCTCCCCCACGCAGCCACTGCCCCCACGCAGCCACTGCCCCCCACGCGCAGCTACTGCCCCCCACGCACTGCCCCCCACGCAGCATTGCCCCCACGCAGCGCCATTCCCCACGCAGCTACTGCCCCCACGCAGCTACTGCCCCCTCACGCAGCTACTGCCCCTCCCCACGCAGCACTGCCCCCCACGCAGCCACTGCCCCCCCCACGCAGCTACTACCCCCAGCAGCTTGTCCCTCCCCCGCAGCTACTGTCCTCCCCACGCAGCCACTGCCCCCACGCAGCACTGTCCCTCCCCACGCAGCTACTGCCCCCCACGCAGCTACTGCCCTCCACGCAACTACTGCCCCCCACGCAACCACTGCCCCCACGCAGCTACTGCCCCCAACGCAGCCACTGCCCCCTACGCAGCTACTTCACCCCCGCAGCTACTGCCCCACCACGCAGCCACTGCCCCCAACGCAGCCACTGCCCCCCCACGCAGCTACTACCCCCGCAGCTACTGCTCCCCCACCACGCAGCTACTGCCCCCAACGCAGCCACTGCCCCCTACGCAGCTACTACCCCCGCAGCCACTGCCCCCAACGCAGCACTGCCCCTACGCACTACTACCCCCCGCAGCTACTGCCCCCCACCACGCAGCCACTGCCCCCCAACGCAGCCACTGCCCCTAGCACACCCCCGCAGCACTGCCCCCAACGCAGCCACTGCCCCCACGCAGCACTCACCCCCCGCAGCTACTGCCCCCACGCAGCTACTGCCCCCACGCAGCCACTGCCCCCCACGCAGCTACTGCCCCCCCACGCAGCTCTGCCTCCCCCACGCAGTCTATTGCCCCCACGCAGCTACTGCCCCACGCAGCCACTGCCCCCACGCAGCACTGCCCTCACGCAAATACTGCCCTCCCACGCAGCTACTGCCCCCCACGCAGCCACTGCCCCCACGCAGCATACCACCCGCAGCTTTGTCCCTCCCCGCAGCCACTGTCCTCCCACGCAGCTACTGCCCCCCCACGCAGCTACTGTCCCCTCCCCCACGCAGCCACTGCCCCCCACGCAGCTACTGCCCTCCACGCAACCACTGCCCCCACGCACCACTGCCCCCACGCAGCTACTGCCCCCAACGCAGCCACTGCCCCCTACGCAGCTACTACACCCCCGCAGCTACTGCCCCCACCACGCAGCCACTGCCCCCCAACGCAGCCACTGCCCCCACGCAGCACTACCCCCGCAGCTACTGCCCCCACCACGCAGCTACTGCCCCCCAACGCAGCCACTGCCCCCACGCAGCTACTACCCCTGCAGCTACTGCCCCCCACGCAGCCACGCCCCACGCAGCTACTACCCCCCGCAGCCATGCCCCCACCACGCAGCTACTGCCCCCAACGCAGCCACTGCCCCCACGCTACTACCCCCGCAGCTACTGCCCCCCAACGCAGCCACTGCCCCCTACGCCACCCCCGCAGCTACTGCCCCCCCACGCAGCCACTGCCCCCCACGCAGCTACTGCCCCCACGCAGCCACTGCCCCCACGCAGCTACTGCCCCCACGCAGCCGCCCCACGAGCTCCCCCACGCAGCCACTGCCCCACGCAGCTACTGCCCCCTCACGCAACACTGCCCTCCCACGCAGCTACTGCCCCCACGCAGCCACTGCCCCCACGCAGCTACACCCCGCAGCTTCTGTCCCTCCCCGCAGCCACTGTCCCTCCCCACGCAGCCACTGCCCCCCACGCAGCCACTGTCCCTCCCCCACGCAGCACTGCCCCCCACGCAGCTACTGCCCCTCCACGCAACTACTGCCCCCCACGCAACTACTGCCCCCACGCAGCCACTCCCCAACGCAGCCACTGCCCCCTACGCAGCTACTACCCCCGCAGCTACTGCTCCCCACCACGCAGCTACTGCCCCAACGCAGCCACTGCCCCCTACGCAGCTACTACCCCCGCAGCCACTGCCCCCACCACGCAGCTACTGCCCCCCAACGCAGCCACTGCCCCCCTACGCAGCTACTACCCCCGCAGCTACTGCCCCCAACGCCACTGCCCCTACGCAGCTACTACCCCCGCAGCTACTGCCCCCCACCACGCAGCTACTGCCCCCCACCACCCCCAACGCATCTTCTGGCCCCCAAACACAGGTGTTGACCCTCTACCACAGATACTGAACTTTCACCACACGTACTCGACGCCTCCACCACAGATACTGACCCTCCACCACAGATACTGACCCTCCACCACAGATACTGACCCTCCACCACAGATACTGACCATCCACCACAGATACTGACCATCCACCACAGATACTGACCCTCCACCACAGATACTGACCTCCACCACAGATACTGACCTCCACCACAGATACTGACGCCTCCACCACAGATACTGACCCCCTCCACCACAGATACTGACCTCCACCACAGATACTGACCTCCACCACAGATACTGACCTCCACCACAGATACTGACCCTCCACCACAGATACTGACCTCCACCACAGATACTGACCATCCACCACAGATACTGACCTCCACCAGATACTGATCCTCCACCACAGATACTGATCCTCCACCACAGATACTGACCACCACAGATACTGATCCTCCACCACAGATACTGACCTCCACCAGATACTGATCCTCCACCACAGATACTGACCCTCCACCACAGATACTGATCCTCCACCACAGATACTGACTCCACCAGATACACTGATCCTCCACCACAGATACTGACCCTCCACCAGATACTGATCCTCCACCACAGATACTGACCCTCCACCAGATACTGATCCTCCACCACAGATACTGACCCTCCACCACAGATACTGATCCTCCACCACAGATATTGACCCTCCGCCACAGATATTGACCCTCCACCACAGATACTGATCCTCCACCACAGATTTCTACCCTCCACCACAGATACTGACCCTCCACCAAAGATACTGACTCTCCATCCGGTAGCAACCTGTTTGTCGACACTGACCTCATTAAGGTCTGCTGGTCTGGGCTTTTAAGGATGTTGCTAACTCAAGTCTGAATTGTTGTGGCTACCCGGTGGTACTACTAAGGAGACCCTGGCTCGCCCTCTTGGAAGGAAGTGGTGAGCCAAACAGTTCATGACTTACGTCTAAATAAACAAGGTGTTCCATAAATGGCTTTCATAGATCAGGGGCTTTATTCCTAACACATTAATAGAGATACATGACTAAATTACCAAATTGTCAATTCTCAATAGTTTCGTAGTTTCATTACATGACAGGTTTGGTAAGAATGTGTTTAAACCTACATGGGGTGTAAATGAAACATCGACACTGTTGCTAGTGATTTTTATTAACAATAATAATGCCAAATGATTTGTACTGCTCAATGCAGGTTTCAGCTCGTCGCACAAGTCACTGACTGTCACACACGTTCAAACACCGCAAGGGTGTTGTGAATATGACTGTCCTGGTCACGGCGCCACAATTTATCACGATTTAAGACCGCTACAACATACACCTCGCTTTTTATAAGACCCCACTCGTAGAAATTAAGGGGATTTATGTCGGGTGACCCTGTAGGTATCATCACATTGCTACCAGACCAGTCATGTGCTGTAACTCTAAAACTATTGAGAATTTACAATTTGGTCATTGCAATTTATTTTAATTTATGTCTCAGGAATACACCCCCTGATTTATGAAAGGTGTTTAAAGGACACCCTGTATATGTGTGGATATTGTGTACAATTTTATATAATACTAAGGTTATATTACAACAGATACTGACCCTCCACCACAGATACTGGCCCTCCACCACAGATACTGGCCCTCCACCACAGATACTGACCCTCCACCACAGATACTGACCCTCCACCACAGATACTGATCCTCCACCACAGATACTGACCTCCACCACAGATACTTGACCCTCCACCACAGATACTGATCCTCCACTACAGATACTGACCCCCAACAGATACTGACCTCCACCACAGATACTGACACTCCACCACAGATACTGACCTCCACCACAGATACTGACCTCCACCACAGATACTGACCCCACCACAGATATTAACCTCCACCACAGATACTGATCTTCCACCACAGATACTGATCCTCCACCACAGATACTGATCCTCCACCACAGATACTGACCTCCACCACAGATACTGATCCTCCACCACAGATACTGACCTCCACCACAGATACTGACCCTCCACCACAGATACTGACCCTCCACCACAGATACTGACCTCCACCACAGATACTGACCCTCCACCACAGATACTGACTCCAACATCTTTACTGACTCAACAGGCTTTCTAACACAGGTATTAATTATATCATTTCTCCACTTACTAGCCATTCAGTCGGTTGGTTTGTACTTTGTTTCCCTGTTATGGCCATTATTGTCCAGTGTTAGTACAGGAGCACAGCGGACTACACGGAGGAAACGTTCTATGCCGTGGAGGTCAACACTGGATATCACCCTTCTTAGGTCTGTCCCTGGCCACAACCCAACCCAACCCACCGCAACGCAACCCAACCCAACCCAACCCAACCCAACCCAACCCACCCAACCCAAACCCCATCCCAACCCAACCCCACCCAACCCAACCCCACCCCACCCCACCCCACCCCACCCAACCCAACCCAACCCAACCCAACCCAACCCAACCCAACCCAACCCAACCCAACCCAACCTCATCCCAACCCAACCCCACCCAACCCAACCCCACCAACCCCACCCCCACCCAACCCAACCCCACCCCACCCAACCCAACGCAACCCAACCCAACCCAACCTCATCCCAACCCAACCTCATCCCAACCCAACCTCATCCCAACCCCACCCAACCCAACCTCATCCCAACCCAACCAGCAGTGATAGATACTCGCTCTGCTACATTACCAATAACACCCCTGAAAAAGTATACCCGGTTTGCCCAGTGTGTATAGTGGTCGTAGGCAGTGCTGTACGGTACTATACAAATTGGTGACAGGAGAAAAAGTCAGGGGGAAAATGTCGCAGGAAAGTCACATTTTTCGTTAGGAAAAAAGTCACACCTGGACTGACACCTCCAACACATGTATTACCCTACAACACATGTACTGATACCTACAACACATGTATTTATACCTCCAACACAAGGACTGACACCTCCAACACAGGGACTGACACCTCCAACACAGTACTGGCACCATCATTTCAGATTTCATATTTATTCTCTTTATTATTCTTCAGCAACAGGGTCTGCCATTAGACAGCACATTATTCTTCCAATATCTTCCTAGGGCGTAGTACCTCCCTGTTTGGTAGCTGCCTACTGCCTGTGTTGTTACCAGCAGAAATACAGGACTTGTGGCCATATACAATGTTGATATACACAGGCATACCTTTATTTTAGGTTAAAATAAATTACTGTTCAAGTATCACTGTGTGTATTTACTTGCTGGGTGCAAAATGATACAAAGACCTAACTCCAACATGGAAGTTTTCATCACTGCTCATTTCATGTCTGAAAATGTAAGTTTCATCACTGATGTCTATATTTAATGTTGTAGGACTAGGACGACCAATGGCCAGGTGATGGGCTTGAGATGATCAGATGACAGATGTAATTTAACTTGCTCCATATCTGGATGGCGGAGTTCTTGATAACACTCTACAATCATAAATATTCACTCTGGTAAATATCTTTCATTTGCCTCGATGAACCCTGGAAGTAGTTGTCCAACCTTCCGCTGATCGCTCTGTAAATAAAGAATATTAGATAATTAATTGTGCTGTACTGTGAACACAGTAATACTATTTTGAATGTACTATAAATATTACTAACATTAACTAATTCAATAGATATTAGCTCTCCCTACTACAAATTTCATAGTATAAACGCTCCAAACAATATTGGTATTACACTATTTTGGTTTTTATCAGAACTTTAAGATTCTAACTATGGGATTAAGTACTTTAAACAATAAGACAAGTTATCTCTACGGGATTTCTGTCGCAAAACATTTTTCGATTGCATAAGTAAATACAGGTCACAAACAGGTTGTACCTCTCTAGTCTGGCATTCTGTGGTCTGGAAACTCCCGTGGACCGGAACGATTTTAGTTTGCCCATGGAGAAAATTAATTTGAGTCTGGTACTTTCGATGTTTGGCTAAATTTTGTCTTATTTACCCTACTATTTTGGCGAATTACTACCTGTAGTAAAGCATCCTAATAAACAACGAAAATAACACAGATAAAATTAAATAAAAACTACAAACAACACAGAAAAGTTCTTATGCTCTACAGCTTCAGCTAGAGTTGAACATACGTCATCCGAGTAAAAACACACACAACAACATTGGCTGTCCTTATGTTTTCAACTTTACCACCTCTGGTGTATAAAAATTAATTAAATAAAAAGACATTCAGTAATAAACAATAATGAATCTTTTGTACATAAGAGAAATGACACTGTTTACACGATTTGTGCACGTCTGAATGTTGTCGGCTCAAACCCGCCGTAAATTTGAGTTTCCACGCCAAAATTTTAATTGGCGAATGTTTTTTGTGTCCAAATAAAAAACGTTGAATTAAAATTCCAAAATTTGAGAACCTACTGTACAACATTTAACCCTTCAATATGTCTTCAAAGAGACCACTAAACAGTGAAAGGGCGTTCCAAGAGTAAGCACATGTCACTATCTATCCAGAAAATTTCCATTGTTCGAAATTTTATGGTCCGGCACTGGTCAGGTCCCGAGGTTTTGACTAGAGAGGTGCAACCTGTATTAACTTAGGGTATGACGAAGTTAAAGGTTCGCTTAACATACATCGTAAGGGGTAGTAACTCAAAACTAGTTTTTTGATAGAAATGAAGGTTTAAATCGTTCATAACACATCGCAAACCACCAGAAGAAAAAACATAGTCTGCATGTCTAAGAACAGGGATGACCAAAACTTAAAATTTACCCAATATAGCCTTTGTCGAATCTAAGCATCAAAATACTTATGGTAGTTAAAGCAAAATTTTACCCATTAATTAATATAAATGATGTACAGTACTGTATATCCCAGTGGGTCATTAGTGAATCATCAAAACAATAACAGCACCATGTTGTTAGTATGTTTACCTAGCATCAGGCATCAGACAATGTCATTACAGTGGTCCCTCATTTAACGAACACAATTCCTCAGAAGGTCGTTCGTTAACCAAACCATTGTTTCAATGGGATTTTGGGTAATTGTTCCAGCTCACCGAAAATTACATACAAAGAAAAAAAATGCAGTAAAGTACACTTACTTTGAGGTGTGTATAGAAGGCCCTGGTTGATGATGATGGGAATTAGAAGTGGGGGTGGAGGAGAAGATATGAAGTGGGGGTGGAAGAGAAATCACCCCATGCTTCATGCCTTCATTTCACCCATATAATTTTAAGTTTACTCGGTGTAATTCAAGATTATTTTCTTTAAATCAACACTGCATTATATATTGTCAATATGTAAAATAAATTTCAGAATGACCAATAATTGTACTGTAAAAATGTAAAATTAGTTTATGTTCAAGAGAGTCTCAATCAAGATGTTACCTCTACTGACCAGAGATACAAACTGACGCCTGTTTGGTGAGTTGAGTGGCTGTTTGGTCCACTAAAAACTAGTTTCCTGTACTTCAATTATGTTAAATAATTGTTAAAATGACGAAAAAATTTAATATAAAACTTGGAAATTATTGAATAGTACAACCTTCTTGATATTTACTCAAATGGGAACGAATTTAAGCCCTAGAACCGATTACTGTATTGGCTGGTGAGCAAGCGAAAACATGTTGACATTATTTCGTTTTTTCGTTAACCGAATTGAATATTCTTATGGAAGTAATTCGTTAACTGAAATTTCGTTAACCGAGGCGTTCGTTAACGAGGACCACTGTACTTATAAATTGACTCCATTCCATCTAGTACTGATATACCTGTACTGTACTTTGTAAATGCACTGAAAAAAAGATAGAAAAGAAAGTCTACGAGGTAAGAGTACATGACAGCTGAGCTGGTGTGAACATGGGAGTATTTTATGTCCATAAGAATTGAGGAAACTGCAGGGGGCCTATTGGCCCGTACTGGGCAGTCCCATTTACACCCAAGTCCTATCGCTCATATATCCATCCAACCGATGTTTGAAGCAGTTCTTCATGGCACATTTCTTCACTAACGAAATTTCCATGACTTAGACCATATATAAAACACCCTTAAAACTTATCTGAACGTGGCATTTGGGGTCCAGAAGCCACCTTTGTACTACCTCTGACTGCAGCTGTGAGTTTAATAGAGAGCGTCGTCTGCAGGGTAGGTGGTGACGTCACTGCAAATGGCTGCCCTGTTTCTTGAGAAATAAACTTATCTCTACTATTATAGCAGGGCTTTAAACTTTTATTACAAATTATATATACCGTATCACTCTACGAATGTGGCAGAGTGTCATGGATTTACAGGTAATAAACCGATTACCAAAAAACTCCCTCTCTCTCTTCCAGTTTGTCCAATATTAAATTCATAAGTCAAATGTATGTTATTTTATCAAAAAATAATTAATATTCGTGAGATTATCTTACAAATATGAATACTTTTCCCAAGGATTTAAATAAGAATGCAAATACATGGATTTCTAATAGTAATGTACTGTATTCGAATACAAATACCCTGAACTGCTGCACAGTATTGTTACGACCATCCTTTCACCGCCTACCCAGCTTCCACCACTGGTTACCAGCGGCCAGGTTGTATGTACAGAAGCAATAGATATCTCACAAGTGTAATCGACATTCTCCCGGCTGTCCCGCCAATTCCTATTGTTCGATGATTGGTATCATTGTACTGTAGAGATAAACAACAGGCAGGTAGATTTCCACCAGGTCACAGAAACACACTTGTGCACTGTAGTCTGCTTTAAGTCACTAATTCTTCACAATACTGTTCGCAGGGTAATGTCTTCACAGCTGATTTTTTCACTTTGAATATATAGTCAGCACACTACCAGTGTACAATTTCTTAGCTTCTCACTTTATATTGATCACAACAAATTCCACAATACTTGCACAACAATTATCTTCAGTTGTCCTACTAGGCTGGTACTTGACATTCCAAGCAGAAACGATTGACTGATCCCACTAGGCAGCTTGCTGCCGCTTTTATAGCTCATCAGATGCCTCTCGAACATCCTAGCACCACCCAGAAACGCCGGTGGTTCTAGAATGTTCTACTCTGACCAAGGCTTACAGTAACAAGTAAATCATAAAAAAAATGATGCAATACATTCAAGAATATTCTTACAGAAGTAATACAGTACATCAATATATACACGAAAATCTCCCTAAACTTGCCAAAGTAACTGCTGCTTGGGACAGAAAATAATCTTAAACACCTAGTTTCAAACACTATACACTCTAAACCCCGACTTACGACGGGTTAGGGACCCAACCAGGTCT